TAGAGAAGATCAGAGAAAGGGATTTCTCTCAGATAATCAGTATGCTTACACAGCAAGCCCCTTTTAAAAGGTTTGTAGGAAAGAAGGGGACAGGGACTTGTTCAAAAAATTGTAGGTAAATATCATCAACAACTGTTAGCTTCCTTCAAGTGAAGATTGATATGGTTAGATTCTTCATTTGCAGACTTAAAATTGTATTCACCAAGTCTTCAATCCTACAGAAGAGCTTGTGTCTTTCATTAGATAAATAATCAGCATTCTTCAAGAACTACGTCATCATCTTCAGAGGACTGTCAGTCATTAAAATTATGAAACAACTTCTAAAAGTCTCTTAGCTAGTTTCCAAAAGTAGTATCTATCTTCTCCTTATATGAAAGACAACAAGGCAGTGATAAAGATGACTTTTGTCATGACTTCTAGATTCTATTGATAGAAAGTGGAATTCAATGGTCAAACAGGAATATCTGCCACAGACCTGATAAACTCCTATATTATTGATGTTTTGACTGTTTAATACCATTGCATGGAGAGTAAAAAATTTCTTCTCGTGGCTTTTATGAAGCAAGCTTTTTTTTTTTTTTTTTTAAATAAGTTTCTGCATAGGTATTAAAACATCTTCACAGTTCTCCTAGCAGAAATTAGCTATTCTTTCTGTTTTCTTTCTGTTTTGATTTATACAGTATTTCTTTTTCATTAACATCAGCTAATATGAAGGAGATATAAAACATGGCTAAGATACGAAGACATTTTGCTAAAAAAGAAGGAGCTACTCAGGGCCTCTTAGATCTTCTTCAGCACAAAGAAGCTCTTAAGATGTTTCCAAACAAATGGGTATCAGTGAATATGTGCAGCTGCAGTTAGTGATTTTCACAGAGTTTAAAAGCATCCTCCTTTCTGTATAAACATTTATTTTACAAACTATATGTCTATATGTAGGCTAGAGCTCAAAGGAACATCTTATAAAGTGACAGAAGAGCTAAAACTTGGGAACATCTACACCAAGATTTTCTGCTTGAATTAAGTGGATGTATGTACTTAATCCTCTACTGACTTGATGGGGTTCATGCTTCAGAGGTGTATCTAAAGTAAAGTTACCTGAAGTAGCTTACAATTAAAAGAAATTTAGAATTAATTTAGAACACCACACTGAATGATCTACTGTGTCGAGGAGCAAAAGGAAGAGGGCAACTTTCTTCTGCTCCCAAGTGAGGAATGAAATCAACTGCTCAACATCCTGTCTGTACTTGAACACCGACTTCTGTCTTGCTACAGTGCCTCAAAGATCTTCCCACAGAAACATGACTTTGCTAGCATTTTAGGCTGTTCAACTGCATTTTACTTCAGCTGAATGTAATTTGAAGAACATCTGCACCATCAACAACCAGACTGCCCGGTCGTTCGTAGCTCTGCTGTTTAGAACCATTTATGCAAAGACACCTATAGTCAATGTAGATCAATGTAGATCAAGCTAGCCTGTGGAATGCAAAATTCTAAGTATCTTTCGTGGTTATTTGACTGGTAGGTAGGCCTGGAGTGTCTGTGTCATCTAAACCAAATCATAGTCTTGAATATTATTACCTACAATAAGTTGCCTAAAAGCAATTGTAATAATTTCTACTGTTTTCTGGTCATACTAACTGTGCTGATGCCAAACTGCACGAAAGCATGCTTTCTTTTTTCCTAGAAGAAAGGAAAAAAATGCATATCTATAGGATCATATATATGCAGACTGCAACCTGCATAGCCCTTCATGACATTCTCAGAAATAGATCATATTGACACTTAGAATTTTTTCCAATTATTGAAACAATTTCATCTGCTACAAAGTGAACTAATTCCTTCTCATCAACCAAAAAGAAAAGGCGCTAATATTATTTATATACTGTAGGCAATTCATACTTCCTCTTTTTCACTGCTTTACTCTAAACTAAATTACACAACATATTGCACTTAGTCTTCTCCTCTTGCCCTTCTCTTACATACCTCTGTATCTTTCTCAAAGGTTAGTTTCCAAAACTGGACATTGTACACAGTATGAACATCAGCTTATGCACTGAAATCTCTAATCAGCTTTCTAGTTGAACTTCCAATTGATGTTTTAATGAAATTCAACTTTTCTGTAATTAACTACAAAATGCGATTGAGATGTACAATGCTGAATGCTTCCTTCTCCCACAGTGACTCAGTAAACTCCACATTTTATGTTTATTGATAAACTTTTTTTCTCAAGCAGTATTTCTGTTTATTTTCATTGACAGAGTAGGATACATACAAATGGAAAGAAATGCTCAATGTCCTCGCTTGTGAAGCGAAGTATTACCGATGATGAGAGAACTGAGTGCAGATGAAGCTTACAACGTCCATACAGCTCGAGCTGATACCTCAACTGGGGAAAAAAAAAAAAAAAACTACCAACAAAAGCCCTAAACTTATCCTGATAGTTAAGACACTAGATAAAATTCAGATATTAATCCCAAAACCCCACAATGCTATCAGTGCAGAGTCTCATTTCAGTGTAAAGCCACACTTTCAGCCCTGCAGAAAAATCATCCACTTGATAGCTTTCTGCAATAACACAAGAGACATTCTGTCTGTGATAGAGCTAGAAGAGACAAACAACAAGGAAGATGCCAATGCAGTCCAGAACACAGTCAAACAGCTAACTCTCACAAGAAATGGACACCATTCAAAATGCATTTTACATGATGTATTAAGCCACCCTAATACAAAAACAAACTTTTTTTGCTGTACTATGCTCTGTGTATGTATTATACTATATTTCTACCTCAAATGCTTGCCTGCTATTAATGTGATTTCCTGTTAAAAGTATACACTAATTATGTTTTTGCATGCTAATGAGCCCCAAACCTTTTGCACTCTTTGTTAGCCTACTTTATTAATGTCATACATTAGAAATGCAATGCAAACCTTTAGAGTGACAGACTCACTCACAGAGCGAGCACCAGAATTTCTTTATGAAAACCTGATTACAAAGAAAAGAGACAGTTGATCTACAAAGTGAACAAACACCAAAGAAATCCTAAACTGTAGAAATTAAATGATCACGAGAAAGAACATTATTATTTTAGCTATCACTATAGGTGAAAATTTTAGCCAAGTTCTCTAAATCTTTTAATTAAACTTCATTTTATTTCAGAAAAGGTTAAACCATTTTTCCAACTGACACTGTAATTCTTCAGCCCTATATTGTCCTTTTGCATTCCTCCTGCATTACAAAGGATTCAGAAACCATGGCACTTTAAGAGTCAGCTATAGAAGACTGGACTGAACATACAGCCTTACTTGGAAAATTTATTTACCTTTGAAGATTCATTCATGCAATTACACGTTTTGCAAGATCTCTTAACAAATACTCAGCAGTAAACAGTAAGTGTCCACTTCAAAAGACAAAACCAAGTATACATACTTCTGATGAGGGTTGGCCAAAGAAGCCCTGGATACCCCATCCTTGGTGATGTTCAAGGCCCTCTTGGATGGGGCCTCGGGCCGCTTGATCTACTGGGTGGCAACCCAGTTCACGGCAGGGGATTGGAACTGGATGTGCTTTAAGGTCCCTTCTAATCTAAGCCATTCTATGACTGCAATTCCAGAAAGAAGCATTTCTTGCATTAACAGTCCTTGAGAACTAGCAGATGCTTTCTGACTTCATTCCATCTTTCAAAGTGAGTGATAAAAAAGGCACTTTGCAGTCACTTAAGCTTCTATGGTACACGCAACAGAAATACACTGAATTTATTTTCTATATTACAATAATCTATTAAAACATTCTTCTTGTATGTTATGGTCAGGGAAGAAAGCTCAAAGATTTTCATCATTTTTGTAAATGGCAAGGAAGGAAAATCATCATTCAACACAAAACACAATCCATCCTTTCTGAAGGGTGCACAGGTGCAAAACCAAAACAGTAGCATAGAAGCCCGCACATGGTGCAAAACATGTATAATTATCAAAGGGAAAATAAAACACCTCAAAGACAAAATTTGGTTGAAAATGAGGTCTTCTGAATTAGTCTTGATTTTGACACTTAGATAGTAATTACTAAAAATGTACTTATTGCTTTCAGTCAGTCTCAAGCAACATTTAATTCTATTTTTCCACTGTACTTCCATTAATAATCAAAAATTAAACGTATAAAAAGTATGTAGAAATTTTCCAAGAATGCATGTATGTACGCATATATGTCATTTATCAAGACGGCAAAACAAATTCTGCATCTACCATAATTACTAAAAATCCCCTGTGACTGAAACAAGAATGTGTGCTGCTAGCATAAATGCCCATCATGTTAGGACCAACTGTACAGTGCGCTATCACTCATGTTAAGGAGATGTAAATTTTTCCACTTCTTCCCTTTCTTCCACAGCAGTTAGTATACTTGTGCACATTAGCAATCAAATTTTCAGCCAGTACTAAAGTTAACTGGAGAAAAAAAAAAAGTTCGACAAAATGTCAAGTCTTGCTCAGAGCTCATGAGATTTAGGTTTATTTTGGAGGAAGATATCATACTAGGATGATGACCGCTAGTCTTTCAGTCTTACATGAGGAAAAAAAAGATCATATGCTTATGTACTCAAAATAAGTAGCGGAAAAATAAATTAATATCAGCTGTACGTAAAGATAAGTGGTAATAACATAATTACTTAGTAATCTACTAATTTATGTGGTTCAGTCTTCAAAAAAGACGAATGACCTTGTATATACTCTTTCTCCACAGAAATACCAGCATGCACAATCTCTTTCCTCTGATGAATGCTCTTTGTGCCCTTTACTGTAAATACTCGCTTGATGTTAGTCTATGATCAGGAGAAGGTAGAAAACATGGTTTTAATAATATGTGCCTGTATTGAACTCTAACAACTTGGCAAGCATATTATCATTTAAGCAGTAAGTGAACTTCATAATACTACTGATATAATTACAAAACTACTCACAATAACATGAAGTTTTTCTTTGCTTAGCAATAAGAGCCAGATACTCACAAAGAAGGGTCCTGGACCAGATCTTTAAGGTTTATCCCACTACGATCCTCGGCAAGGTTCCTGAAGCAACTGTCACTCACTAAAAAAAATAGAAATAAAATTAAAACAAAACAAAACAAAACAGAGAAACAAAAGAGGTGGAAATTTAAAAATGAAATATGGCTGTATTGATTAGTTAATAAAGTTTTTTGGTGTTAAGTCTAATTTGACATTCATATATAAGGTCTGATTTTCAGTGACATATCAACAAATTTTAAGGTAAATCATCTCAAGGGAAAGTGATAAACAATCTATCACAATATACAAAGAAATAAATGGTTACAAGCTGGTGCCCTTAACACTTCTACATCGCTGGGTAAGTATAACTCAAACATGACAGTGTGTGTGCAGATATTGATAGAGAATCCTTAATCATGCACAGCTCTGTATTATCAGGCTAATCAGGAGTGAGTTGCTATGTTTTTAATCAACATATGAAGTTCAATAGCTATATTTACTGGAAAAAAAAAATTAAAGAAATTGCAAAAAAATTAAAAGATATTAATGTATTTTGGTTTTCTTCACTACATTAATGTGGTGATTATGCTCTGAAACTCCTTTATGTTTGCTAATTATCTCAGCACAGGTATTCTTTTCAAACATGTACCCACTTCTCTCAATGGGACAGTCAAATCTGTGAGGTAGAAATAAAGTTGTAGCACAAGCGCTGTAATAAATCAGCATCAGTTCAAAAAAATTATAGGTTTTTATGACTAAACCAAGACTTTCTGAAAAACAGAGGTTGGGATGAGACAAAAATCAATGTAAAGAACAGTTTCCCCTAGTTATCAAGATAACCTGCCAGACTGAGTAAAGCTCATAAGAAATGCAATACTGCTCACTTTCTGATTTAGAACACAGCCTCGCTTATAGTTGATGAAAGGGAATGCATTTAAAACCATCTGCAAAAGCATGTGTTCCTACTGCTCTCTAAATGCGAGAGACTCTCTCTCTGATTTACATCTATAAGTATTCATGTGCACCATCAACACTGTAAAAAATGCACATCGTTCCTAAAATATGTTCTTTATTTGCAGAGTAAAATACACACTGTGATAGCCCTACCCCCACTGCCTACACACCTCAGCAGCCCACAGTCTGGCAGGATGATGGTAAAGATAGAAGCTGGAGAAAAAGCCTCCAGAAGGGGCTGGGGTATCTGGGAGCAAGTGCCAACTACAACTCTCTCCCAGCTAACAGTATATGGCAGTAACTTCAAGGTTTACCCTCTCCGCACTTCAACACTGTTAACAACCTGTACTTCCTGATAGCCCCTCAGGACACTCCATACCAAAGCCACGAAGAGGCTCTTGTCTTTGAGGCAGCTGCCACACATCTTCGGTCAAACAGTAGCTGCTGATCCAGCACCACGTCCGGGACCCCTGGCTCATTCCTCAGAGGCAATCTCTACACTAAAATGAAATTTAACTACAGTAAGCCAGCAAGAGTGATGTAGGGGAATGAAGCTCCCCTTGAACACCTTGGGCCTTCAGAAACCTTTAATTTCCTCGTCCACTACTGTATGAAAAAAAATCTCAAACTGCTGAGTTAAAGGAGCAAGTCAGAGATCAGCAGAATCACAAACAGCCTATACTGTAAATTTTACGTGACAAAAACAGTCCTATAAGCTAAGAAGTCTAGCTTGTTTTTGTCTCTTGTCAAGTTCAGCAATGAAAGGAAGCACAATATTCTGACTACTGGTTAAATCCTACATGACTGATGTACTGATGTGTCTTTATACAGCACAATTAACAATGGTGGTCAATAATGTTTTTTTCACTACTGACAATTCAAGCATTTCTAAAGCATTAAAGATTTAATCTACATGTGATGCCTTTTTTCCTACTGTTACCTCCATATCTCCTCAATTAAAAAAATCAACTGAAGACACATGACAATTGATCTAAAAGTTTCCTTAAACGTGAAAAAAGCAAAAACATAAAATTATTTCATCAGTAAAAGTACCCGTTGTTATATAATTCAAGCACTTCATAAAAAAAGATGTGTTTGAAATAAACATTTAAAATGAAAGTCTAGACTTGACAATGGCTGTCCTTTTCTTACTGACCTATGCTTAATTATTGTATTACATATAATACCATTTTTATGAATGAAGATGAAAACCTTTAAACTTCCCTTCTGTTGGCAAAGTTAGTTGAAAAGACTAACTCAACATGAATCAAGTATATGCACACTTCATATACAGGTCTCAACTGCATCTCCTTTTTTTCTTTTTTTGTTGTAGTAGAGTCAGAACACCAAGAAGCTGCTAATTTGCAAGCAAGCTCTTTCTCAGCCTACCAGGCAGAACCAAAAAACATTGATGCCTCAGCTAATTTCAGAGGTATCAAACCCACTTCCAAGAATCAAGAAGTTTGGGCATTTTGGTTAACATTCACCAAAATAAAATTTCTGAAAAACAACATTTGGCTATAATCTCCAGTTAAATCTTTGGCACTGACAGCAACAGGAAAGTTTGCCGTGCAGGAAATAACTCAGCAGAACGGTGCTGGACTCACAGCTCTCACAGGAATGCTTTCGAGCACTTCACCAATCTGCATACAAGCACAGTCACACACTCTTGCAAGCTCTAGCACGGAGGTAATCACAAGTATTCACAGTAAACATGGGATTGAAACAATCAACCAAAATGGTTAATGCTTTTCTCAGTGCTTAGGAAACTATAAATTAACACTACGTCTGTTTTTAAAATGCTATACTCTGATGGAAATGCAAGCTTAAAGAAGACAGCAGGCAAAACTGTGTTTGATGGTATAGCACAAAGGTCAGAATGACCAGATATGATGAAGAGTGCTTAAAGGTCCGAAGGGAAAAAAAAAAGGCAGGAAGAAGCCACATCACTGCTACAAATTGTACCATACACAGAGGGCAAATCTAGTTCCTTGTGTTTAAAGAGCAATGGGAGAGAATTTTGAATGCAACATTTGAATGAACATACAGCCCAAGATTTTATTGCCTTGTTTAAAAATTACATTTTTACTTTTTAAGTGCCCAAAGCTTACAAAAGTGGTTATTTTTTGCAGATTTCATTTCTGATTTAAGCGGTTCTGTCCAACCTTTTTTTTTTTTTTGTATGAACAAGATTTAAATTTGCCTTTATAAGCACCATTTGAAGAAATCACTTTTCACTATTAAAGTTGTACATATGGTTGACTTCAAAACAAAACGAAAGACTGTTTCTTTTGGTTTGGTTTTAGAATGTGAAAAGGCAACTGTTTTTTTTCCCTCAGATGTCAAGATATCTTTCCTTAAAATCCTATTCCCCTGCAAATACAGAATTCCTGCCCTATTGGCATAACTTACGAACATAAAGATGGACGATCCTACCATTAAAATACATTTAAGGCATCTCAGCTGCCCAATGAACAGCTCACCAGAGATGAATATTCTGCCTGAACCATTTTTTCTCTGCTACTGTCATTTTTTTCAAGTGACTGCATGTCAAACTGAAAACATACATAAAAACAAATGGCGTATTAGAGAAATTTTGTAGCATCTTCACCAGATCTATTGCAGAAGATAGAAAATTAATTATAAGAGCATACTACTTGCAACTCTGCACACAAATCTTTGTGACATCTTTATAGAATGAAAGAAACTGCCTTCTGCCTGCAGATTGCAAATGCTTGTAACTGCTACAAAAATATGTTGTTTGTGAGTGGCAAAAATAATGCACACTGTTTTCCTGAGAACTCACTATTGGCTAGTGGGAACCCTTATTGTAAGAAACAACATGAATTATAGAATCATTTGAGTTGGAAGAGACCCTTGAAGATCAGCTAGCCCAACTCCCATGCAATAAACAGAGACACCTACAACTAGGTCAGGGTGCTCAGAGCCTGGTTCAGCCAGACCCTGAGTGTCTCTAAGGATGGAACATCCCCACCTCTCTGGGAAACCTACGCCAGAGCCTTACCATCCTTCACTGCATCATAGAATGGTTTAGATTGGAAGGGACCTTTAACATGATCTAGTTTCAACCCCCCTGCTATAGGCAGGGGTATCACCCATTAGACCAGGCTGCTCAAAGCCCCATCCAGCCTGGCTTTGAATGCCTCCAGAGCAGAAGGCATCCACAATCTCTCTAGACAACCTGTTCCAGTGTCTCAGCACCCTCACAGTGAAGAATTTTTTCCTACTATCTAGTCTAAATCTACCTTCTTCCATTTTAAACCCTTGTCCTGTCACTACATGCCGTTATAGAAAGTCCCTCCCCAGCTTTCCTACAGGCTCCCTTCAGGTACTGCAAGGCCACTATGAAGTCCCCCCACAACTTCTCTAGGCTGAAGTTCTTCTTGGCCCACTGCTCAAGTCTGTCTAGGTCTCTATGGACAGCATTCTTTTCTCAGGCATGTTGACTACACCACACATTTTGGTGTCATCCACAAAATTGCTAAGGGTGCACTCAATCCCACTGCTGATGTCATAAATGACTCTCATCACTGATCTCCACTCAGACATTAAGCCACCACCACTCCCTGGGTACAACCAATTTCTAGCATGTGATAGGAAAACAAAGGAAGATAAATGCCACTTTCACAAGCCATGAGATGAACTTTGCAAATGAAAGATATTACACTGCTGAAATTAGCCTGTTTGAAATACAAAAGCCCCAGCTTAGTGATGTTAATTTTCCCTGGGCATTCAGAACTAGTTGTATCATCAAGATTAGATACAATTTCAACTCATATATTATAATTCACTCCCAAATATAAATTCTCAGTCGACAAGAGCAAGAATAAAGTCATTTTAACTTGGTTAATTGGATTAACCAAAATCTACTCAATGCAAATGTTCTCTGCCACATCAGCAAACACCACTACAAGATATTTATTCATATCCTCTGACCAGATAGAGTTGGCAGAGCAGATCAACTATCAGCTATCTGTCATTTCACAGATTTTAAACACCAAAGTACTGTAATGATCAGTTGGACTCCCTGTACACATCTGGCATTCACACCTGATAAATGTTCCTGGCATGTGTTTTTCACAGTTATTGTCATACACTGGCATACAT